ACTTTGATGTGAAATATAAAGTAAAAGAATAAATTGATTTATCTTCCTCCGGTACTGCAGTTTTGTGACCTTTCAATCAACATGCTAATAGCTCGAGTTATTTGGTGGATGCATTATATGGTATTTACACTTACGCATTAGTTCTTGAACTATGAATTACTGTGTTTCCTTCTTCGTTCTGTTTCATTCTCTTTGTGGTGTATGATTATGGTATTCAAGTTCGTTTTGATGTCGAAGACAGGTGAGCACACATCTTTAGTGTAACTATTGGAGTCAAATATAGAACCGTTAGTTTTCTCTGCACTTGGTGTTTGTTCGTGGATTCTTTTTCCCATTCTTTAATTATGTTGGCGGTGTCAATTCTTTGTTTTCATTGAAATTTTTCTTTCATTTGCTGCAGACCCTCAGCCATTCCTGGACCTGTTCCTGATGAACTAGTAGTTCCAACTACAGAATCTATAGGTTTATTTAAGATGTTCAACTCAACTATTAATTTGGCTTCTTGTGGTGATTGCATCTCAGAAATTTAAGTTTCTATGATCAGGTGTTAAATTGCTGTTAAAGATGGGATGGCGGCATGGTCGGTCAATAAAGGATTCAAATAGTGATGCACTGTATGGTATGACTTTAGAACACATGCTCTTCTTATATCAGAAAACTGTATTACTCTAGTACTAGTTCATGCATAATCTGGAAAGTCGGGAAAGTTCTTGGGAGATCTCAATTTAAGATCATAGCTGCTGTCAATTGCAATTATGTGATGGCAAACTAAGTTGTTTTTTGACCTGTCACCCTTGGGTAGGTGAAGGTTATTGCGTCTTTAACTAATGGATCTCCTGGAATTTTGCTAGACCCCTTTTATAAATACATACACACATGCGCACAATAACCAGAGGCAGAGGCAGTATTTTTTTTTTCTTTTCCGTATGCTATTATACATTTGGCGTTTCTCTCTGAGTTTGTCAGTTAAAAGAGAGAATTTCAGCTGTTGTTAGGCATAGAGAATTGGGAATAAAAGATTGAGACTTGGAGATGAACCACAGAAGGATACTGGAAAGGCTAAAGAGATTTTACCCTTACCTGGGAAAAAATTCTTATTGATGTTTCTTCTTCACTTTGGTTCTTATCTGTGATCAATGCTTCTATTCTTGATTTTTGTATTTTTTTCCA